ATTAATTCCTTTTAGTAACTAATCAACTAACAGGAAATTCCCAAATGAAAAAGATCACTATCACATTAAACATGGCGGTGTTTAATTTGTTTTAATGCGTTGGTTTACAAGTAACGCCATTTTTTCAAGACAAGCGACGTTTGTAATAAAATGATGAACATCTTAAGGTGCACATTCCGAAAAATATTCAGAATCTCCCCGCCCTAAACAACACTAATGAATCTTGCGACTCTTGAAAAGGATGATTATTGTTACGTAAACAAATTATTAACTTCCTGTCCCAGGAGAATGAACAAAATGGCAGGAGAGTTCCATAAGATTTATACTAAACTGTTTGATTAATGCCTCTGAGTAACTAATCAATTAACTGGAAATTCTAAGATGAACAATATCACAATTATATTACGCACGTTTCAGTTGCATGTCTTCACGCTGACGGCATTTCATTCGTTTTGCTGTGTTCATTATCAGGACAGCCATTCTTTTCATTACTAGACAACCAACGTTTGTAATGTTTCTAATATCATTATTCTTTTATTCATCCTCCTCCCTTATATATATATATATATATATATATATATATATATATATATATATATATATATATATATATAGAGAGAGAGAGAGAGAGAGAGAGAGAGAGAGAGTTTCTCTTGATTTTGTCTGAAGACAATATAGCGGCAACTATTATTTTTGAGGGTTGGACGGTTATTACTAACATGTTCCTTTTTTCAGTTTGTTTTCGGGGTCATCACCTCCACCCCATCATTTCATAACATTGGTAGAATTTTTATACAATTGTACATATTGAAATTTTAAGTCATGGGATCCTTTTTAGTAGGAACCCTGTGGATGTGAGGTATTTTGGTGTATTTACGAACAAATGGTGACGGATTCTTATGGTGAATGTGTAAATTGAAACGAATAAATGGATTGTGAATCTGATTACCTAAATATAAGACAGTGTTGATCAGCCTTGAACCATCCCCCCCTTTTTTCAGCCTTGTGTCACAATTATTGTATTTAATCAGTATTAAATCGTAGACAAGCAATGTTTGTACAAAGACCTATAATAATTTTTGTAGGTTTATATATTTTTATACTTGAAAAAATTGTTTAAATATAACTTGAAGAAGACAGACATTTTGTTGAAATATTGTTTAACATTGTCAAAAACTGGGTATTTTTCTTTTCTTTATCTTTTCTTAAAGCGCGCTCTTATCTTAACTGTTGAAAAAAATAATGGAAGCGTTACGTCAATCATTTTGTTTATTATTATTATTATTATTATTATTATTATTAAACGCACATCTAATCATTTTTGCCGCAGAGAATTATCTTCGCAATCTCTCCCCGTTTCGAATCTATTTAGGATCTACATTTTCACAACTACTTAGGCGTTTGTACAATTCCTAGCAAATCGCCGTTCTTACCCACTCATGCTGACAACACTTCATCTGTTCGTCCAATTATTATTATTATTATTATTATTATTATTTACTGAAAGAGCAGCACCATTATCACTATTATAATTGCTTATTATTTTTAAAGAGAGAAAAGTGCCGAGAGTGGCCACGGTGATAAACATAAAGAAATATCTTCCATTTATTATTATTATTATTATTATTTCCTTTGATTTCTGGCGTGTACACATTTCATTCCGGGTCCTGCCCAGGCTAGAAATGGCATTATGACACTTTCCACTGACAAAAAAAAAAAAAAAAACGAAAAGAAATTACATAGATAAATTTATTGATGCGTTGGTTTACGAGTAAAGACTTTTTTTTTCAAGACAAGCGACGTTTGTAATAAAATGATGAACATAATGTAACATCAACTTCGTAAAGTGTGGACTGTACTTGTGAGAACAATTTTTTGTATCTCTTTGAGTCATGGGCTTCCAGGAATCACTTCAATTAGTCTACTGAAATCTTTTCCAACCAATCCGAGGGCTCCAACTACAACAGGGATTGTTGATGTTCCCATATGCCACATTTTTGAGATTATTATTATTATTATTATCTTTTTTTTTATATCAGTTGTATACTCATTTCTTTCCGAATCTCAACCAAAGATCTAAGGTCAGAAATGGAATTATAAAATTTTCCACTGCGCATTTAAGTAAAAAAAATAATATAACAGCCTAAAACATACATTTTACATAGATAAAGTCCTTCGTAATGTGTGACCTGTGCTTATGTGAACAGTATGTATTTCTTTAAGGCATAGGCTGCCAGGGATCCAATGAGTTTCTAAGTTTTCCCAGTCAAACTACCAATCCACAACTGAAATTAATGGTGTTTTCTTGTGCCACATTTTCAAGATTTCCACTTCAAGATTCTCATAACTTTAGTGTCTTTTGAAGATTTTTTAAAGATACATTACAGTCTGCAGGAACTACTATATATCAATAAGTACATCCAGTTTTATTGATCTTTCATTATTATGTCTGGGCGATTCGTTTTGATTGTTCGGTCTGTGTGTATTTTAAAGTCCCATAAAATTTTTAGTCCCATGTACGTTTGGTCTGGGTCTGGCTGGTGTTCATAGCAATTTCTTGTAGTTTCCTTCCCATAAAAGTTGAGAATTTCCAGTGTAGTTATTGGCCCACACTGTCATTGCAAATGTTACATTCAATCGATGTTAATACCGTACAACCTGACAAAAGATAACCAATTGTTTCTGGATATTTATCACCGAATCTGCATTTGAGGTTAACACAATTTTTCAGTATGTGTTTTTGGTAATTTCCAGTTAGCAAGCATTGGTCCTGTACAGCATGGATAAAACGTTCTGTTTCAGTTTTAAACTCGGCACTACGTAACCCCTAATGAGCACGTGATTTGTCTCCATAAGCTTCTTTGACACGAGCAAAGTATTGGTTATGAAGAAGTTTGTCATACCATCGTTTCAACATTTGGGCAATTATTATTATTATCATTATTATTATTATTATTATTATTATTATTATTATTATTATTATTATTATTATTATTTTCCTTTGGTTTCTGGTGTATACTCATTTCTTTCCGGGTCTCGACCAGAAACTTAAGGCCAGAAATGGCATCATGACATTTTCCACTGAACAGTTTTGAATAAAAAATTGCACATATTTTACATTTGATGAAGCCTTTCGTAAGGTGTGGGCTGCATCCATGGGTACATTTTTTTTGTATTTCTTTAAGGAATGGGCTACCAAGAATTCCTTCAGTGAGTCTATTGGAATCTTTTCCAATCAATCGGAGGGCTCCAACTACAAATGAAATTGTTAATGTCCTCATGCGCCACATTTTTGAGATTTCGATTTCAAGGTCCAGGTATTTTGATAGCTTATTGAAGATCTTCAAAGATACATTGCAGTCTGCAGGGACTGCCATGTCAATAAGGAGGCACATTTTGTCTTCGCTATCTCTTATCACGATGCCAGGGCACTTCGATTTCATTATTCTGTCTGTCTGTTATTATTATTAGTAGTAGTAGTAGTAATAGTAGTAGCAGTAGTAGTAGTAGTAGTTCATTTATTTGAATAATCATAACTGTTGTTATCGCTAGCGACTAAGTATATAATATTTTATAAACAGTGACCGTCACCTCTTCCTCCCCTTTCTTGCCATTATTATTATTATTATTATTATTATTATTATTATTATTATCATTATTATTATTTGATTCATTACTTAGTTGCACCAGTTCAGAGTGTCGAGCGAATGCGTTCCGATCACTACGATCATAACATCTCCATGTTTATCGTCAACCGTTATCTATCCTACATATCCTCATAATATATGTTTTCTTCTTTACGCCCTTACACCAACCATATTTAGTAAAGCTCTAGCTTGAGTGACTCTTGGGGTTTGTTTCTTGTGAAGTAAATCAGAAACTGTATGATTTTACCGTTAATCTGTTTCGAAATGAATTGTGTGACTGATGAGGTAAATTTTTTTTCCCGAAGTATCATGTCAAATGATTGGAGGAAATTACACATAAATATTATTTTCTTTTTTTTTTTAACAGAAAATAATTATAGGATAGACATTCCACTATTTATTAAAATAAATATATTGTCTATGTATTTTATCAAATTAACACCAGTTATTATTTTTCTTTAAATCAGAAAATAATTACTTCATTTAAAATAAATACACTATAGAACCCGGTCTGTACTGCTATTTATCCATAGTGGGGGGAGAAGAAGAGGATTCATACCTTTCCTAAGGGTATTAACTCGTAAGTGAATGCAACGGATTCAACTAGAATTCGAACTCAGCTCTCCGATTCCTCAACCAGAGCAACTATCCATTACGCAACCGTGCCGCCTCACCAAATGGTCTGTTCACCAACCTTATTTAGGTGTAGAATTTATAACGAAGATACTTTCTGAAAGAAACATTATCATTTCTTTTTCGCGCGTTAAACTGATTATAAGAGGAATGACTTTACAGAAATGTAGAAAGCGAGAGATTGTTTATGTAATGATAACATTTTTCCCCACTGATTTGTAAAGGTTGTCCTGAATTTAGAAACGTTGTCATTTAAAAGATTCCAAGTTTTCTATCGTCATTTTATTTTTTGTTTTCTTGCGTATGTGAACAGGGAGGGACGAAACACACTACAGATACCATTTTTTTTTCTTTTTCCGCTAATATTATTCTGATGCCATCAGCACCAAGGTCATTAACGTTAACCCATAGCACTGTCATCAACATTTCGGTCATCACTATTCAAATTCCATGACAACCACAGCCTCAGCCACACGAAACGCTGACCCATCTAACCACCCAACCACTACCGCTACCAGCTGCTGATCAGAAACCACTAGTACTGGTTTCCACCTTCCTCTTCAGGAGCCTATACCATCCACTCGCATCTCCTTCTCTTCGATCCGAAATCTGAGTCACTTCTCGTTAATACCTCACATTGTTTCTCGCGGAGAGAAATTCCCTAATGGACAGCCTATACACCACGGGATATTTTAACGGTGTTTATATCTTCATACTCAGCTATTGTACCCCGAACATTGTGTACAAGTGAAGTGGGTCGGGAACTTCAACGAGTGTTGCCGCTGTAGCAGCGATGGCCCTTCGCCGAGTATAAAGGAGAAAGGGCGGTAATAGGTGCCAGAGTAAATTTGGGGAAAGTCGGTGAAGAAGGCCGTTAGATCGGGGGTTGGGGTGTTCATGGATGCGTGAGTGGGTGTGGGTGGAGGAGTCGACAAGAGGTAAAGATGCGTCCTCGGTGATGATGGCCTATCAAGCAGGCTGAGCGTGGACACACAATCTGCACACCCCCGCCCTGGCTGGCACAAACATCAGTGACATCATTCCCTCGCCTCGGTCTACGCTCTCTATCCCTACGCCCCCTCCAAAAAAAAAAAAAGAAAGAAAAAAGACGCATACTGAACTAAAGAAACACGTACACATGAATGTCGTCCAGCGTAAACGCACATACTTAAGGCCAACTCTTATGTGAACTAACTTTTATTCCTTCAATTATCCATCCATATATATATATATATATATATATATATATATATATATATATATATATATATATATATATATATATATATATATATATATATATATAAATGAATGTGAATATATTGATGTAATAGAAAAAAGAACAGTTAGTTTAATAATCAAAAATACTTTAATATTTGTCTTTATTTTAAAAAAATAGTGCTCGATACGGAAGTAGAGATTAAAATTATAATTATTTCTTAATGTTTTTAACAAATTATATATATATATATATATATATATATATATATATATATATATATATATATATATATATATATATATATATATATCATTAAATAATATATTTTGTATATTTGTTTTTAAATAATATTTTCTCATTTGTTTTTAATAGGGCAAGTCTCTTAGTATACTTATTAAAGGAAGAACGAAAATGTCCATGTTGTTGCATATTCATTTTATTCCGACTACGTTCGCCATTGGCAAAATGTTATCATCAGGGTCTTGTTTTTTCTAAGACAAAATTGTTGTGTTTATCTGAAAATTAATTGTGAATTGAAAAACGCTATGGTTATGTACTGTACATTTTTTTTTTATTTTATCATGTAGACATTTTTTTTTATTTTATCATGTAGACACACATGCAAACGTCAAGGGGAGTAACTAAGTTACTGAAATGTCTAAATCTTTTTTAAAAGAAACACTATTTAAAATTATTAGTTAATACCTAGTTATTATAAACTATCTGCTATAAACATTTTAAAACATTTGTGCAATTCGTAATTATTTTTATTAGGGGTTGGTTCCAGTTTTTTAATATATATAGCTTCAAGATTTTTTTGTTTATGTTTATAATTTCCTTGAAAAAGTATAGATATATTTTCATCAAGAACTTTCCTAAATTGCGAATGTAGAGAGGCATACAGTTGTCATTGTTGAGAGATGTTAGATGCATCATTCAAATGAAAAATTAACCTTCGAGGCAACGTATTAGTGGTATGACTAACATATATATATATATATATATATATAGAGAGAGAGAGAGAGAGAGATGGAGAGTGCTATACTATCATTAACCACCTCTGACGTCCTAAATTAATATCATAAAAATTGCCTCCGATTTCATAAACTTTATTCATGACGCTCGTATCTGTGACAGTTTATTTATAATTATTCGTATCATTCTATATCCATCTACTTGTGATTAAACTGCATGTTTCATCCAGTTCCTATCTATTCTATCTATCTATCTATCCTAATCTGTTCATATCTATCTATCTATCTATCTATCTATCTATCTATCTATCTCCGTCAGCTCATATCCGGTTAACTTTCTATTTCTGTTTTACTCGTGCCTATCTGCTTTTCCATGTACCTATTATGGATATATATATATATATATATATATATATATATATATATATATATATATATATATATATATATATATATAAGATAAGATGGAAAAAGCAGACAAATACGTGTAGAGAGAGATACAAAGGTAGCCAGATATAAGCAAATGGAGATAGATAGATAGATAGATAGATAGATAGATATGAACAGATTAGGATAGATAGATAGATAGATAGATAGATAGATAGATAGATAGATAGATAGATATGAACACACCGACACACACAAACAACATATATATATGTAACATCAATATTCTCCAGTTGTTAGATTAAGCTTTGAACCGTTGTAGAAATGTTTAAAGATCTATTACTGGAATTCTCCGAGCTTTTTACAACACTGGTGGCCTCTACTTTGAGCTATAATGAATGTATAATTACTCTCCAAGCTTAACAGAGGAATCATGACATCGATCATAAATGAAAATGACATGTTCATCATTAATTAATCTTAGCTAAGGATCGAAAGCTCATGATGGATATATTATTTCAGGATTATTTTCAAAATTATCAATTATTCAAAATTATTCAAGATGATCTTCGCCCTCTCTAATCTTCTAACTTACTGTCCTGGACTAACAATGTGCCTTACACGTTTCACGAATGACTTCATTTTCAAGCCTTTTTTCACTGCTCTTTGGACTGTCATAGAAGAAATGGCTCGTTCACGTGCCAAACGTCTTATGTGATCTTTTCTAATTGATCTCTTTAGCTCTAAGTTGAAATGAGGATACCTCTTCGTGTTGTGACCACCTGATTCAGTTTTTCTCTCTACTGTTCCCACATTTTAAAACTTATTCACTGTTCTCTGGATAGTTCTTGAATGGATTTGAAAATGGAAGGCAGAGTATGAATGTTGGTTTCATTACTGAAGGCCTGAGTGATCTTTTCCTCTCACCATTGCTCAGTTGGGAAGAACTAGTGGGGCTGACACAAAACGACCTGTTCTCTTTCTAAGTAAATAAATCAAAGTGTTTTTTCAGTGGTTCTTAAGATAAATGTTGTCAAGCTGGCGTTTAGCCAGCTTGACAACATTTATCTAAAAACCTGGAAAAAAGAAACTCAGTTTTTTTTTTTTTAGATATTAAATATTTTGTGGTATGGACAATTATGCTGTTACATGATTTCGACAATTTTGCAGTTACAACCGGTAACACTAAATCTCGGGCTAATAAATCAGCCCATGTGACGGTCAACCCTTCAGGACGCCCTGGATTGATCTGCAAACCCCGTGCAGGATTGTCGTCTCACGCGAAACATAAACACAAAAACTGAACTGAGAGAAACTCATACGTCGAAAACGACGGGAGAGTCCATCATCATCATCATCATAATCATATATATATATATATATATATATATATAGGCTTAAACACTAATATTCCATGGTCTTAATTTATTCCATTGGAATGGTAAATACGATCCAATTTATCAGACCTACAAATTCAAAATTTGTAGGTGTGAGGAATTGGATCGTATTCATGATTCCAATGGAATAAATTATGACCATGGAATATTAGTGTATAAGCCTTTTTTTATTATATCCTTACAATGTCCTGGACATTGAGTTCTACCTGGATTCTATCCTCTTGGAATTTTTTTATTCCAAAAAATATATAAGTATGTGTATGCATGTATGTATATATATTTATATATTTTGCATATGTATGTGTATATTTACCACTAATATATATATATATATATATATATATATATATATATATATATATATATATATATCAAAATGCCAGGCATGACAACCGATCCCTTTCAAACAGTGCTGTGCGTACATTCTCCCTAAAGACGCGACTTCGCACGTGGAAGGTCGCATGTGTAAGCCTGTACCAACACCGACAATCCATGTCATGAATTTATCACATTGAAAGAAGAAAAAATATCTCTGGAACGAAACGGATATTAAAAGCTGAAGTAGAAAGGGTGGCATGTTCGATTTAATAAAAGGCTAAATTAGCGAAAGCCACGCTTCTCTCGTCCGCATTCTTTCACTTTACATTGTTTTTACCCCACTTTTTTATGATACATTAAATCGTCCTCGACTGAAAATTATCAGCACTGACCTCAGGGCAACAAAGCAAGCAAGAAGGCAGCTAGAACGCATTTGACACCGATGATTGTCCTCAGATGCTAAAGAATCGGTTTTCAAAATAACCGAAGATTTCTTTTTTATGTGTTACTTTATCATAGGCAGCTTCGATGCATATTCGTTCGCCATCATTGATATTTTTTTTTAATCATTTCACTTTAGAAAAGACGAGAGTACCACTAGCAGTAAGGGGATGTTACAGAGAATGAAAGTAAGAGAAAATGACTGGGTATAGGCGGGATTGAGGAAAGTATAAAAGATGAACGAGATTCCAGTCAACAGAAGATGGCGGTTGACACTGCATTTACATTTTTGAATATCGTATTTAACAGGGAAGCAAGTAAAAGGAAGGGAATTCCACAGTTTGGAAGTGCGAGGGAAATATTGGGTGTAGAAATGGCGGTTACATTTAACTATTTCAACAGTAAAAGGGTGGGACCTAAATGACAATCAAGTAGCACGCTTAAATTCGTGTAATCGGGACAAAAAAAGCTCGTCAGAGCAGTTGCCATGAAAATAATTGTAGAAAAGACAGAGGGGAGCTACATCACGTCTATGAGAAAGTGACTGAAATTGATATGCCTGGTCAGTATCGATTACATTGCAGATTCTTCTTTAGTTTATTTTTCAAGAACCTCGATATGAACAGTAGGAGCACTGACAAATGGTAGATTTGTAAATCTGCAATATGGAGTCTGACGAGAAAAAGCTTCTGGCACGACACAGTGAACCAACATTCCTTGCAGTAGATTCAGCTATTGATTCAATGTAGTTATTCAACTTCAAGTCAGTTGAAACGCGAAACCATGATGGCGTAGTGAGACGATCTCTATGTGTCGAGTATCAGCTATGCTGATGGCAGAAAGAAACATTTCTCTATGATGGTTAAATGAGGGCCGTTTAGTTCTGGAGGCATTCACATTTACAAGCCATTTCTTGCCCCAGTTAACCACTGATTGGAGGTTTTTTTTTTCAGAGCAGCGGCTAGGTTAACTTTGACGGATTTGCTATTTAGTCAGGATATTGTCTATCCAATATGGTGGATTCAATAACACAATGCTGAAATCAAATTTTCTTCAACGATCTTTTTATTTTAAAAAAATGTTTTGTATAGAATCCATTTCTATTGTTAAACGAGTGAAAGAAGAATAATTATTTCCACAGATGAAGAACAAACTTGAAGTTGCAGAAATGTGATTCTACAGAAAGATGCTAAGAATACCATCATGCGAACATGTGAGCAATGATTAAGTTTCAGAGAAAATGGAAACAAAAAAGAAACTTGAGCAGCGTGTGTCTCATGATGTTTCATTTGTGAGAAAGGGGTTGTTTGGGTGGAAAATAATTCATCACCCATACGGCCGCGTAGACGCTTTTAAGCTCTATCAAAACAGGCGAAGACAGTGAGTACTGGGCAGACCCAGCCCGAATATGGCAAGTAATACTTCATTTTTGGTTTGATCCGTCTCTTTCATGGGAAAGGTTCTGACGAGCAACAGTTTCCTAGTTCTGACAGCAGACATTTGCAGCCATATCCGTAGAAGCGAACCATTATTATTTCGATCGTATTCCATTAGAAAGAAAGAATTTCCATTCGAGCAGATTCTTCGCAATAATCGCTACTTTATGAAACAGAGTCCTGAGGGGATGCTTTCCTGATAACACTTAGCCTCTTCATGTCTAGGTTCAACCGTTACCTATCATAATCTGTACTTCATCCTCCTTCCCCCACCTACGTCCATACATCTGCCACGTTTGGAAACACTCTACCTTGAGTGGCTCAAGAAGTATGTGGTTATATAGAAAGATGCTGAGAATACTATCGTTCGAACATGAGAGCAATGATTAAGTTTCAGAAAAAATGGAAACAAAAAAGAAACTTATACTTAACACGAAGAGCAGTTGACATTTCTAGGACAGATAATGAGGAAAGAGGGTTTGGAAGATGTGATACTCATAGGGCGGATTGAAGGCAAGTGGGTGGGCAGTAGAAAACAACGCATAACCTACTTACTGAGCTTAAGTAAATGAATGGCGCCACAAGTGTTAGGGGAGATAACAAAAAAGACAAAAATTATTAAGAGCTACAAAGAACAGGAAATTGTGCTCTGTAGGGATACAGTAACATAGAAGATGATTAGCAGTTTCTGAATTAAAACAAAAAGAATGCAGGAGTTGATCTCTTTGTCAATCGAACCAGTTTTTTTTTTTTTTTTTGCAAACATCTGATAAAATACTAGTTTGTAGGTGACGACAGAAAATAGGAATAAGAGTAAGTACATTATTCTGAAAAGCCTGATTTAGAAATGGCATGAAATTAGTCCCATCGCCAGTCATTGTAAAGATAAACTTTGTTATCGTAATAAAGAGTAAGGAGTGTTAAAATATAGCTATACTTTTGTCTGTGTATAATCCTAGTAAAATAAATCATGGGAGAGTTAAAAATAAACAACTACAAATTTTGAAAATCTCTAAGCGTGAAACAAAGTTGATAATGTTAAACTAAATCAAAAATGTAAAAGCTATTTTAAAAGCACGGTAGAATGCGCAATTTAACTTTGAGTGGCCACTTGTCTAGAAGAATGACTAAATTGAATTCAAAACTACTGAGAAAACGTGAAAGCATTTCAGTATTTTTTCTAAGAACCCATGGCAATTCAAAAATTGTAATGAAAGAGAAGCTGTGGAAAACTGTAACCGCCTAAATCATGATTAGATATGGCAATTAAAAGCTAAAATATTGCAAATAACTTGATGCTATAGATCAATTTGCAGGTGCAATTAATTCATTAAGTAATCAATTGTTGTGGTTGTCTGCCAATCTTAATTAATCTCCGTAAGGATCCACCCGGAAGAGACCATTTCGAAATTCTCTTATCGCTTTATATAGTAAGAAGTTTGCATTACTTAACGCTGACGTCATTGTTTGATATTCAAATCTCGGATTTCGAGTGTCAATTTAAAAATCAGACAAAAATTCTCCGCTTCAAGAAGTCGATTCTTCAACATACTTTACCGTTTCATTTGACATTGTTCGACTCATATATGAATATATGCAGTAATAAACGACAACCATAATAATGATTACAATAGCTGATTAACACATAATGACACTGATAATTAATTAGATTTCAATTCAATATCGAATCGATAGCATTCGTCGCACGCATAAGAGTGCGCACTGACACGAGCACGTGCGAATTTATATTTCGTTGTTTAGCAGACAAAGAAACGGCGCGCGTCTCGCCAACGCGCATGCGCCATGTGCAGATTCAACAAAAAAAGAACAAACCCCCCCACCCACTTAACACACGCGCTCGATGTCTTGTCTTTTCGGCACGTCAGACATGATAACGCGCGGAAGAGTTTCACATTATTTCGCCCGCTTCGGTGGGTTGCAAGCGAAAGAAATCGCTCATTTTACTTGCCCAGTGTCCAAGTGATCAATCTCGGATCACAGCACCGGATAAACTGGCCAAAAATCCCCCGGGAAACAGAGATCAATCTCGAATCACAGCACCGGATAAACTGGCCAAAAAACCCGCGGGAAACAGAGATCAATCTCGAATCACAGCACCGGATAAACTGGCCAAAAATCCCCCGGGAAACAATCTCGAATCACAACACCGGATAAACTGGCCAAAAATCCCGCGGGAAACAGGGATCAATCTCGAATCACAGCACCGGATAAACTGGCCAAAAAATCTCGCGGGAAACAGGGATCAATCTCAAATCACAGCACCGGATAAACTGGCCAAAAAATCTCGCGGGAAACAGGGATCAATCTCGAATCACAGCACCGGATAAACTGGCCAAAAAACCCGCGGGAAACAGAGATCAATCTCGAATCACAGCACCGGATAAACTGGCCAAAAATCCCCCGGGAAACAGAGATCAATCTCGAATCACAGCACCGGATAAACTGGCCAAAAATCCCGCGGGAAACAGTGACAGAGAAATATTCAGAGCTTAATGTTTGAAGCTGTACAATTTCTTTTGTCATCGATTTTTTTTTAAATTTTTTTATTTAGCCATTGACTGACGTTTGCGACATCTGTAGAGAGAGAGAGAGAGAGAGAGAGAGAGAGAGAGAGAGAGAAAAGAAAACTAAAATTCTAAAAAGTAGAACTCATACGACCTCTGAAAAAAATAGTACACTTGGCCTTCCGTGTGCGCTAGTTTTGACTTTTAACCAACCGCAGAATGAAAAAACATTCCTGAAAAATCCAAAAAGCAAAATTTGAACTTGTCGCCCATCGAGCCCTAAGATGTCAGTTATGTGCCATGCGTGGTAGATGTTTAGGCGATCTTGTATCTTTCGATACATGACCGACAAGATAATGTCCCACAGTAGGTTGTTATTTCTTTCTGCGGTAGACCAGTTGTCATCCGAGGCTATAGAACCCGGTCTGCCTTGTTATTTATCCATAGCTGGAAGAGAAGAGTAGGATTCATACCTTTCCCAGGGGTATTAACACGTAAGTGAATGTAATGGATTCGACTGGAATTCGAACTCGGCTCCCCGATTCCTCAATCGTTCCTCCACCGTTCCTCCTAGGAGGTTCTAAGATGAATTGACGCGAATGAAACGATGAGTCGCAGAAATGTTGTAGATTTGCGTCATTTCACGGATCCTCGGTTACTCACTTGAACTTGTTGCTTACATCGTCTTTCCTCCTTCGTGCTTCGCCGCTAGTTTCATTTTTTTGTTTTCAGAATTAAAACATTAAAAAAAAATAGTTTGTTTTTTTTTAATTTTAAATTAATCACTAAATAATAAAATATTAAAAATTTTAAATGTAAAAACTGAAAAATAAAAATATACATGTTATGGTCCAGGTTAGGACCAAGGAAGAACAACACGAACACAAGAGTAGAAATAACGAAGGTATATTACACGAAATAATAATACAAGATGTGGAAGGTGTTAGTATGACTGTCAGTCTGGTTTGGAGTGAACTACTATCGGCTCGACTCGATTCGATATTTACTTGCCCCCCCCCCACAAGGCCGAGTTTTACGTGGGTTTTCCGAGCCCGTAGGCTCGGCCAAAAAAATGCCCGTAGAACCCGTATAAACGGGATCGGGTTGGTCAACCTCCCCGAACGAGACTCTGCCCTCCGGCGGAACCTCGTCCGGGTTCCTCTCTGCTCAGAGGCAGAGAATTCGACAGTCAAGCCAAGAAGCTCGACTCGATTCGGTATCTAGACCCCCCACCCTCACGAGGGTTGCATGTGCACAAGGCCGATTTTAACGTTGGTTTTCCGAGCCCCGTAGGCTCGGCCAAAAATGCCCGTAGAACCCGTATAAACGGGATCTGGTTGGTCAACCTCCCCGAACGAGACTCTGCCCTTCGGCGGAGCCTCGTCCGGGGTCCTCTCTGCTCAGAGGCAGAGAGTTCGACCGTCAAGCCGAGAAGCTCGACTCAATTCGACCCTCTCTCTTGAGAAAGGTAGTATAAATAGTGTTAGGAAGAGTTCATTCTGTAGTTATAGGTAAGGACCCATGACAATACATAAAATTAAAAAATTAAAATTTGCAAGTTAAAAATTAAATCATAATGAATAAAAATTTAAATATAAAAACAATAAAAAAGCACGTTTTAAAAGAAAATATAAATTTCAAAAACCTAAAATTAAAAATATAAAAAAAATAAAATTAACATTTATGAAATAAAAATTCAAAAACATGAATAACATGGATAATAATGAATAATTACCCATTGTAAAATGCAGAATCAAAACACATGACAACAAACATAAATAACAAAAAAGTGTTAACCAGTTAATGTTCTTCTCTCTTCAGGACAAAACCTTACCAATATGTCTACAGGCATTTTATAGTGGTTGTAAATAGATTTATGAAAAAAAAGCAAAAATAAAAACACCAGAATTTTCTTTTCCCTCCATATTTAATTTTCTGATAAAACTTAAAAAAGAGCAAAATATGTTACATTTGTAAACGTTTCCTATTTGTTACTTATTCTATCATTCTGTCGGATTCTAATCCATATTTAATCCCAATTCACATATATTTTATTATCCTTGATGGTGAATATCGCCAAAATCAGAAACATCTAAAATCTCAGCTGTAATAAACTGATTTCTCAGATCGAGGCTCCGAACGAATGAAGGTATTAGCGGGGACCATCCTTCTACGAAACTTGTGGACTTAGGCTACCAAACCACTTGCAATGAACTGTACCGAATAATAGAAGCCGGATCAATTGCAGTTTCAATAGCAGCAATAACTGAAATTGATAGCACACGTAACTCGTAACACGTAAAGAGAAAATAACGTCATAATCAAGACGTTGACATTCCACACAATTTCAGACAAAAGGTTAGGAAGGAAACCTCCATCAGTACTGGAAAGTGCAATAGCAGTTACTGAACTCAAGAAATCTATTTTCCTGAAAAATTGTTTTAATAGAACGATTTTTTTTTAAATTTCTAAAGCCAGCCGTACTGGTTGTTCGGTAAATGTATGCTGAAAGTTTCTTTATAACGAAACGTTTAAGATTACCATATATATATATATATATATATATATATATATATATATATATATATATATATATATATATAAATATATAAAATCTTCAGCCCATAGCCTGAAGAATAAGTTCAATAATGAAACAGACTGACATATTTTAAAACGATATATGTGAACATATTTTACATTTTAACATATATAATGAAGAGAGCGTTCAAGAATAAACGGACTGTCGCCTCTCGGTGTAGACCTCAATGTTAAATCTTATATTTACTCAAGATATATCTCTTATATTGGTCTATAAACCCATAAATATAACTCCCTTAAATGTATAATTTTATAATGACTCTCTCTTTCTCTCTCTCTCTCTCTCTCTCTCTCTCCATATATATATATATATATATATGTGTGTGTGTGTGTGTATATGTTTGTGTGTGTGCGTATGTGTGTGTACTTGTATATGTAGGGGTTTATAAAAATCCCTTAAATTTTACTTTGCATCTCGCATCTATATAACATAATTTCATCCTTAAACAATATGTCTACGTGGTTTTCTCTTACGCATGCGTACGTGAGCATGCGTGTACGTCAGCGTCTGTGACACGTGAGGGGGAGGACATTTCAGTGTTGGCATTCGGTTCTTCGTCAGACGAAAAGTCGCAATAGCCAGGAATGCCACCAATTTCTTCTCTAATTAATGGATTCACGTTTTTCCCCTCCATCCCCGTACACAATCCCTTCACATCTTATCATTTCATTTTCTCGCGATGTCTCTTTTTGAGGGTCTGCTTTTTTCAGCGGCGTCTCTCCCCGAAACGTACCTTTTCTTTTCTTTACCTTTTCTTTTTTCCTTCCCGACTTTGTCGCACGCACCGCCCAACCTAAATCGCGTAGGGTAGCTGTGAGCGCGTCTATAACAATGTCCTTATTAACATCATTCCCGCCGTTCACTGCCTTTCTAAAAATGATTTATCCTCTCTTTCTCTCTGTCTCCATCTTTCATTGGCTTTATTTCTCTTTATCTCTTATATGAATTCTTTCTTTTCTTTCTCTCTCTTGCTTTCTCGTTCTTTCTTTTCTCTCTCTCCCTCTCTCTTTGCTTTCCTATTACTCCCTCCCCCTTTTCCCTTTCAATCTATCATGTTACTTTCATTCTATTTCTCTTGCATTCTCTCTCTTTTCTTTTCTCTGCCTCTCTCTTTCTCAATCTCTTATCATGTTATCGCTTTCTTTCTCTCTCTTATTTTTCTTTTATTTCTCTTTCTCTCTATATTATATTCTCTCTCTCTCTCTTTGTCTCACTGTGATCGCCATTCTATCTCTTTAGCTTTCTTTTTCTTATTCTTTTGCCTCTCTGCTTTTCTTTCTGTCAACCTCTATATCTTTATATCATTCTGCTTCGCGCTTTCTTTCTTTCTTTCTTTTCTTTATTTCTCTCTCAGTATCACGACCTTTTTCTCTCTTTGTCTTTAATTTTGTATCATATCGTCCATTTTGTTTTCTTTCTCTCTATAGCTTTTCTCTCTCTTCCATTCTTTTCCCTCTCCTTTCATATAATTCTCCATTTTTTTCTTTCTTCTGATTTCTTTTTCTTTCTCAAGTTATACTTCTTTTGTTTTTCTCCCTCCCATCTCTCTCTAAATCTGTCGTGTCATTTATTTTATTTTCTCTCTCTCTCTCGATGGCTTACTTTATCTTTCTCTATCTCTCTGCCATCGTTTGAGCTTCTCTCTTTCACTCACTCTCCAACATACCCCTTATATGCTATCCGCCTTCCCTCTCTTTTTCTTTGATTCTTGTACTTTCGCTTTGTTTTACTTTTCTCTACATCTATCTATCTATCTATCTATCTATCTATCTATCTATCTATCTACTATCTATCTATCTATCTATCTATCTATCTATCTATCCGTGTATTCATATCTATCTATCTATCTATCTATCTATCTATCTATCCGTGTATTCATATCTATCTATCTATCTATCTATCTATCTATCTATCCGTGTATTCATATCTATCTATCTATCTATCTATCTATCTATCTATCTATCTATCTATCTATCTATCTCTGTCACTTTGCTATCTTTCTTCTCACTATTTCTTTTGCTTTCTTTGTCGTTTTATCATTAACACAATTTTTCTTTCTCTCTCACTTTAAAACTCATTTCATTTTCTTCTTCATTTTTCTCTCCCTTTTCGCTTGATTTCTTTCCCTTTTTCTGTCTCTCCATATTTTTCTCTCATTCTCACACGTTTATTGGTCACTAACCCTCTTAAACCTCTCTCTATCACCCTCTCGATGTCATATTCATTGTCTCTTTCTAACATCTTCTTTTCTTTCTCTATAGCCTTCCTTTTCCTCACTCTTTTCTTAATTTCTTATTGTCATTTTCTTTTTGACTTACACTCGATTATTTCTCTTTCTGTAGCTCACGCAAACTTTCTCACCTCTCACATTCTCATTCTCTTTCTTTTACATTCTTTTGCCTTCCACATTTTCTATTTAAAAAAAAAAGGCTTTGTCAATATATAGCAGTTCGTGATCAGACATGGTGCGCCCCGAAAAATGCGCGCGTTTGCGCGTGCGCGTGAACCCGTTTGATAATGGCCGACATTACTTTGTTGAACGCTAAGTGCAAAGCTTATTTCGTTTGATTTCAAACACTTTGAACAAGAAAATAAAATAATCGAAAAAATGTACTTCTCTCGACTCACAGCATCTGTATATATTTTTCACGCCGAATAACATATATATATATATATATATATATATATATATATATATATATATATATATATATATATATATATATATATATATATATAGCTATTATGTACACTATTTACATTATTCGGACTATTGTCCTCATCTTTGCCGCCATATTTATTACAACATTTCGGCCGTTGTAGGCTCCGGCCTTCTTCAGGTAGTTGGAATGTCGAACTGAACCCTTTATTACGCTCACTGGGAAAAGTAATAACCCCTTAGACATATCTTCCATAGTCTCCTTCCAATTAGTTACATTGCTAACTCGAATATTATTTCACAATGCCTATTGCTGCAAAAATTAGTGCTCACAAAAGTTAGAGTCAAAAATATGTACTATATACGGTTTCCGAGCATTGTTTATATTATCTGAACTTTGGGTCACGGCCTCGAGGCGCTGCCCCAACGGTTGTCTCGCTAGAATAATTATGACTGATTAGTGAGTCATTTCTGGGTGCCCCCTACTTTCGGCCTTGTGTCACATCTAAGCTACACTTGGAAAATCACTATCTTACCTGAACGTTTGCATAACACGTGGCTAGAATGGAACACATGGTCAATCTAGCATGTGGGGCTGCAGGTGTTCCTGTAGAAAAGAAAAAAAATTCCATGACAAGTGTCAATTCGATCCTTTGTTATAAATGGAATGTACTTCGCCGAAGTATTAATCCCCAAAGGGAGTCTTCATGTGACAGACGTGAGGAGAAAAAGTGATTTTTAAAACTCCGTGTATGCTTGCATGGAGTATTGCTGCCATATATGGTCTGGAGCCCCTTCTGTTTACCTCGGGGTTCTTGATAAGCTCTAGAGACGGATATGCAAAATAATTGGCCCTGTTCTGGCATCTTGTCTACAGTCGCTCTCTCACAGACGCGCCGTCGTCTCTCTTTGTCTTTTTTTTACAAATAATTTCATGGTAATTGCTCCGAGGAGCTGCATTCGCTGGTTCCCAGACTTCATGAATTCAAGCGCCCTACGAGGCTGGCATCCCGCTCTCACCCTTTCACTGTTGAAACTGTTAAATGTAGCCGTCTCTTCTACTCCAACAGCTTCATATCTCGCACGTCTCGCCTGTGGAACTCCCTTCCCTATTCAAGTTTCCCTGGGAGCTATAATCTCCAGCTCTTCAAATGTAATGTCAATCGACACCTCCAGTTGCTTTTATCTATCCACTATCCTTCTCCCCATCCTTTCCTCTATCACTCCTATCTGATCTTGCTCCAAATTTTTCTGTAACCCCTTGCGTCCTAGTGGCTTTCCGCCTTGCTTGGAGTGAAACGCTTAAAAAAAAGGTGTATATCTTTGTTCCTATAAGATTTCGGGTTATCCTTTCTATTCCCTACTGTTGTTCAATATTTTTGCAACTTTTGATGCATCAGTTGCAAATCATGGACGTAGGCTTCTGTCGTAATCATCTAACGAGGCAACAAGTGGATATGATGAATTCTTCCAATATAATTCAATAAAATTTTACAAATTTCATTTTTGACAATTCTATATGTCTATCTCCCTCTTCCCCTCTCTTTCTCTATCTCTATCTATCTCCCATTCTCTCTCTCTCTCTCTCTCTCACTTTGTTATCTTTCTTCTCGCTATTTCTTTTGCTTTCTTTATCTTTTTCTGATTATCACTATTTTTTCTTTCTCTCTCACTCTAAAACTTTCATTTTCTTCATTTTTCTCTCCCTTTCGCTTGATTTCTTTCTCTTTTTCTCTCTGTCTTTTTTCTTTTATTTCTCTCATTTTGACATGTTTATTGGTCACTATCCCTCTACTTTTCCTCTCTCTCTCTCTCTCTCTATCATCCTCTCGATGCCATATCCATTGCTTCTTTTTACCATCTTCTTTTCTTTCTCTGTAGCCTTCTGTAGCCAGTGCTATATTGTTAGTTACGTTATCACCCTTTTCCAGTTGAAATTGCTAGATATATTCTTAAGTTTTATTCTGACAGTTTCTTCCCTCGCCCTTCTCGCTTGTGGTGCTGTCTTCCGGCGTCTTCCTTCCCAGTTAACTTTGAGCTTCAAAAATTTAAGTGCAATATCAATCGTCTACTTATGTTTACTTAATTCTTTTACTTTTAGTGTTCCCCGCTCCTTAATAATGTATTTTTATTTTTCTCATATTTTTTCACATTCAGCAACATCTTTTGTCTTAGTGATTTTAATGTGTGGGTGAATTGATTAAAAAAAAAAAACGGACAAGTTTGGGAGCAAGTTCGTCGATCGAAAAAAAAGTCATATTTATGATTATCATGGAGAAACCACTTTTCCTCAAGGGTACACAAACCATCAAGAAAAATATAACATTTTTTAAATGAACAAATTGCAGCAAGTAACAAATTGTGCTCTTTATTGCCTGTCATATTATGGGAGTATCCACTTCTACATTTTCTTTACTCTATTGATTTGTGCCAAATGTCTTCCGAATATTCTATGTACTATTTTTTGGGTTCGGTGCCAACTGTTTGTTTTGTGGTAAACTTCCATGTCTTCCTTCAGTTTCTCATTGTCAAAAAACGCCTAGAAGAATGACGAGGTTCACTTTGGCGATCCGGGATAATCAGGAACTAATTTTGAGACCAAATATGCACGGCCCATTCTGTAGCTGACTATGTCCACCAAACGTTGTTGATGTGTGTGTCTTTGGCCGTATAAAGGCAGAGTTTTTACCAAAGCAGAGTTTTTGCCAAAACAGTATAATGATAAGACATTTACATTTTACGATTATTATTATTATTATTATTATTATTATTATTATTATTTTTGTATGTTATGTTTCCTTTTTTTATCCTGTATAGCCGGGTCCAAATAATCTGCTTCTTTCATTCTTTTTACGTATTTGCCATTCAACGCCTTGTCCTCTCAATTTTTTTTTCTAAATTTATTTTTACAAGTTTCTTTCTGTTTTACTCGACTGGTGAAAATTGTATTCACTTCGTTTTTTGTTGGAACGATTTCAGTATATTAAGCTGTTTCTTGAATAGTGCAGCTTCCCTGTTGATGGAGTGGATTTGGTATTTCCCTATTTGTAGAAGAGTGTCATTGGTTTTTGTGAGGTATGTTCCCAATCCGATTGTTGTAGATTTTAGAGTCAGTTCAAGTCGGATTAGACGTCGGCCTCCTAAAGCTCTTAGTACGTACAGTCTATTTAACCGCTTATTTCGGGTGTTGCATTCTCATTTGGGTAAGCATTTTTCAGGTCTTGGCATCCAATCTTTTAAGGTCATTCAAATTCTGTTTAATAATGCTGAAGATTATTATTATTATTATTATTATTATTATTGTTTTTATTTTCTTTGATTTCTGGCGTTTACACATTTCTTTCCGGGTCCCGTCCAGGGACCTAAGGTTAGAAATGGCGTCATGACACTTTCAATGATGACAAAAAAAAAAAAAAAAAAAAAAAAAAGAATTAAATTACATAGATAAAGCCCTTCGTAAGGTGTGGGCTGTACTTGTTGGAACAATTTTTTGTATCTACTTGAGGCATGGACTTCCAGGAATCCCTTCAATTAGTCTACTGCAATCTTTTCCAACCAGTCCTAGGGCTCCAACTACAACAGGGATTGTTGATGTTCCCATATGCCACATTTTCGAGATTTCTATTTCAAGGTCCTTGTACTTTGACAACTTTTTGAATATCTTCAAAGATACATTGCAGTCAGCAGGGACTGCCATATCAATAAGGAGGCATCGTTTTTGTTTGTGGTCTTTAATAACAATATCTGGCCGGTTGGCCTTGATTGTTCTGTCAGTGTGTATTGTGTAATCCCATAGAATTGTAACAGGTCCTATCTCCGTAACCGGGTCTGTGTGGTGTTCATACCAGTTTCTTTCAGTTTCCTTCCCGTAGAAGTTGCAGATTTTCCAGTGCAGATATTGGCCCACTCTGTCATGTCGGGTTTTATATTCAGTGGGTGCCAATACCGTACAATCTGATACAATTATTATTATTATTATTTCACCCCTATCAAGGCAATAAAGCCACTAAAATGCAAGGGGCTTCTGAAAGAAAGTGAAAGAATCAGAAATGGCAATAAATTAATAGATACAAGGAAACAGAAGATGAAGATTGACATTGCATTCAAAGTTGTGGAGTTTCTATTTGACGTGAAAGCAGGAAATCGGAATACATTTCCGCAAAAGAGAAGTTAGGAAGAAGGAATCAATAGCATGAAAACTAGCAATTTCAGCAGTGAAATGATGAGACCTAACTGCCAATCTGGTACTGCACTTAAATTCGTGCATTTGAGGTACCAAAGACGAATGCTTGTCAGAACAATTACTGTGAAAATATAAGCTTAATACGGCTACTAATTCTATCAAGAGATTGATTCTAAAAGGAAACAGAAAATTTGTTGAACAGAAAAAAAAAAAAAAAACAAAAAAAAAAACAACCAGTACTGAACGGCAATCACTTTATATGACAATGAATGCTA